CTTCTGAGAGTATGTGAGCAAAGCATACTTCATAACTGGATACTGCACATTTATTAAATATATAGATTACTCGTAGTGAAGAATTTTAGACACGAATTTATGACAGGATTCCTAGTGCTCTTGGCACATGACAAAAGAACATTCTCTTACAGGTTGTTTATAATGGCTTACTTCTCTTATTGAGCATTCTTAATGCTAAAACTGTACTTTTTAATTTTTAATTTTATTTTAAATATCAAGTTACAAATAATCAACTTAGATATAATCAAGAAGTTCATGTACAGCCCAGAAAAATATAACTCCAACAATTGACACCACGAAAAGCATGATTTATTTAAATTGACATACCTTTGTTGTGAGGTAATCTTTCACTGCTATTTCTTGATTTAACCTAGCTATAAGATCTTCCATGTCTGTTTTTGCCGTGACTAGTCTTCGCTGCATAGTCAAGAGAACCCTGCTTAATTTATGCCGCTGATCTAACGGGAGAACTACCTGAGTGCCACCTGAAGTTTGTAACTCTGCGTTGCCAAGAATTTCCATGATGCTCGAAACCTCGGCACCTCCAACAAGGTCGAAAGAACCATCACCAGATGAATTTGGAACCCCAGAGTTAGACATTTCACTACCTCTTTGAGAACTAACATCACTTCCCACACTTTCATTTGAGAGCTTGCGAGAATGGCTGAATACTTTACTATGCTCTGGGGCAGAGAAAAGTTCCATTCCATTACGAGCTTGAATTGAAGTTTTAGAAGCATTTCCATTATATGTATCCTTCCCTATAACATTATTGACATTTCTTGCATGCACTTTATGCTTAGGAAGGCCTTCCAACTGCTCTAGTATAGTCTGTCCCATAAACAGTCCTTCGTCAATATTGGTCATGCCATACTTCACAAGCTTTTCTATTGGGCTTGTTAAATCTTCATCCAATAAAAGATCTTCGATACCAATTTCAGAACTGTCATCCCTTGCTAGCCTAGGTGTTCCTAGCTCAGATGTCTCATAAGCGGTATCACTTCCATAATCTGATGCAATTGATGAACTACCAACAATGACAGGTAAGGCAGAATTGGAAGGCGATTGAAGTGAATTCACTTCTGAAGTGTTTTGACTTGCATCTTGGAATGCTGAAATGTATTATGACAAGGAACTGATACATTAGCATCTACAAAAGGATTCTAATTTTGAAAGTTGTGAAATAGAAAAAGATTCATTAGACATCCCATATCACTAAACTGAACATGTATAACACAAGATAAAGATGTATTACAACACTTAATGCACAAGGTAGTCACATACAAGACCTAGCTGCAGACTCTAGTTCCAGAAAGGATGCAACTGCAACACTTCTTGATATATCAATATCAGAAAGCAGCTTTGTCATCCAAGCCTCCAAAGAGCACCTTCTCTGCAACAAAACTAAAACTTCTTAGAAATATTAGTCAGCACCTCGGAAGTATACGAGTGTATGCACAGCCCATGTTTGAAGATTGCAAATAATACTGTTTCTTGAAAAAAAAATTACTTTTCAGTTAAGACTTGAGACTAATCATCCCTTATGTAAATATGAACAAACTCGAGGGAGTTTCTTGCTTTCCATTGAATGCCACTCATGTTAAACTGATTAAGCAATAGAACACTTCACCTACCTCTTCCAACAGTTCCCGGCTCTTCATCCGCAAAAGCCCCTTGGGTGGAGTTGGTGGTAGATTTTTCTTGGGAAATGCCTTTTTAAGCTGCAAGTGACAGCACACAAAGAAAATAATAAGCGTCCTTTGATTAGTTTACTTAAAAAGAAAAAGTCATGAACACATTTCCTTAAAGAGTGCTCAGAGAACAGTCAAGTAGCCACCATGATGTGAATTACCATACTACCATAAAGTAAATACCTATTTTACCGAATATGACAGTCTGAAGTCAGTACTTACATCATTAAATAACTTCAGAAAATCATTAAATCTTCTTAGCACTCCACTTGTAGTCGTAATACCTTCTGGTGATTGTACACCAACCTGAACCCTGTAGAACTGTCCCTTAAAATGTTACAATAGAACATGCAAAAGACTGGTATAGACTGTAAACAAATGTGAAAGTCTAAAAGATAAAGTATCAGCTTGAAATAACCATTTTGCATGCAGGTAGTGTAAATGTTTATTTTACAAGAAACTAATACATACATATATATATATATATGTTTATTCACATTCAACCGAAAAAGTTAGACCTATTCAAATGGGAATCTTAATTTCGACTGCTATGCTCATTATCTATGTAATCAATGTCATCAAGCCTGTCACAAAATCATACAAATGTTATACCACATGATTACATTGTATAGTCTGAAAACATTATTTTTGAATAGAGTCTGAAAACATTATAATGTAATACAAGGAAGACTTGCTAAGGTCAATGATGAATGACAATGCACCTACAGGATCACATACAACTTTATGTTCACCAAACTGACTGCTATACCACCCAAATGCATTGCTGAAACCTAAAAGACCATGAAGTAAATTAAACATATTTAATTTACTTGTGGACGAGGCAACCACCATATTATTCAAAGCTTCAACATGGAAAGTTCAACCATGGACATAGATTTCCTAATTGTACTCGGATCCCAAAAGATGATATAAAACAACATCTAACCCTGGGCATAGATAAACACTGGAGAGTCATTCAATTTGAATACCACTACGGGATCTGAATTTCTTGATTTTGGAAGGACAACCCAAGAGGGTATAATGACACAATAACTCCACCCTGTGCGAGGATCATGCGGCCAAACTGTGTCCCGCCCATTCTGCAAAATGAATGTGAACCTTTTGGATTAGAAGATACCCAGAAATTATGTTCAACTTTGATTGACAATAAATAGTGCAATAATGGTAAAAGGGGAAAAAAACAATTATCCACACTGGCGAGCAGAAATGCAACTGTTGAGAAAAGGTCAAATCTGTTCTTTCCGGTGAAGAGCTCGCTTAACCCCCCCAAAAAAACTACCCACCATATAAAATGACAGAAAAGCAATTCTTTTTCAGTGTGGATCCACCTCAACTTATGTTTGCAAAATTAATGGTTATTATTCCTAAATGCTATGAGATTGCTCGATGAAGAAATAAAATTGTAATCTTAATTAATAAGTGGCATGACTTGTGAATAAATTGGGCTACGAGAAATTTTTTATGCCAAAGTGGAAAGCAGCTAAGAAAAAAAAAACAAGAAAGCGTTCAAATTTAAAGCGTAGATAATCTAAACACACAGAGTCCAAGAAGTCACACCCATTGGCATTAGATGGAACCCTGGGCAAGAATGATTAAAGTAATAGTAAGAATTGAATGCCTAGAGATGATTAAAAAGTAAAAAACTTTTCAAGAAATGTGAGTGCATTGCTGAAACTGTAAGAGAACAGATTTGAGGAGGTGCATACCAATATAACTAATGAACTGATCGATTGTATAAAAGAAAGGATTAAACTAATATTTAAAAGCTTAAATTAGAAATTAATGAGCTTAAAATTAGACCAAGTAAGCGAAAGGCTCGAATTTACAAACCCAATGAGAATGTAATTGAAAGTGAGGAACTTTAAATGAAACTTGAAATGAATGGAATTGAAGAGAGCGAAAGCAAACGAACCCATTTCCGCGGAGGAGGACTCCAATCCATCCCAAGGGGCAGCGGCGAAGTCCCATCGTGCCGGTGCTTCGGAGGACTCCGTCTCTGCATTTTCCGATCTTTCTACAACACACACTCTCTCTCTCTCTCTCTCTCTCTCTCAAGAATTCACTTTCTCTCTCTAAGAATTGAAATCGATCATCGCAGGCTCTCTCTCAAGAATTCACTTTCTCTCTCTAAGAATTGAAATCGATCATCGCAGGCTCTCTCTCAAGAATTCACTTTCTCTCTCTAAGAATTGAAATCGATCATCGCAGGCTCTCTCTCAAGAATTGGGAAAGAGAGACGGGGCTAGGGTTTTTGATGATCGGATCGGACGAGCCGGCCAAGGAGAATCTCTCGGTCAAATAGAAACAGAAACAGGTGACCTCCGCACAGTTTCCATTGCCCGCCTCGTCGTCACTGCGAGAGCGATGGCGCACGTTAGCAGAAGAATGGGCAACGTGGCTAATCGGAGCCGCGAGCGTTGCGTATCACCTGCAGCTTCGATTCGTTCTCTTTCTTCTTCTTCTGTAGCAAAAAATTCCGAATTGCGAGTCTTCTCTCTCTCTCTTTCTCTTTCTTTTTCTCTTTCTGGAAAGAGAGTCTGTCAGTATTCGATTCGAAAGGCCACCACCGATCGCACCTCTCTTTTTTTCTTTTTTCTTTTTCTTTTTTCCTTTTAAATTTTTTGATTTTATTAAATAATTTTTTTAATTTCCTTTTTGGTAATATTAAACAGTCTCACCTAACTGTCTTCATTTGCAGTTGCATTGAGCTTCACGGCGGGGACAGAGAAGCAGGCAGAAGGCTACTTTGGACCTTTGCGTTGAGTGAAAACCCCTTATTACCCTTGGGCCTTCATGGCATTGGCACCGAATGCTTCTTTTGGTAGTGTTTAGGGTTCTATAATCAATTCAACCCACTATCTAATTTATTTATTTATTTTATTGAATCTGTTGGCTTGATTCATTTGGGCTTGACCCATGAAAATTGCTTTGGTTTTTTGTTTTACTCATTTGAGCCCAAAAATTGGTAGGTGTGGCCTCTCTTTGTGTATGTATAGATTGGCCCATGAAGTTGCATTTGTTTATTTGCTCTATCTATCCATCAACTTAGCATCTAAAATTGAACAATCTAATGGCTCTGAGGCTTAATTGGGTACCCTCAAGCTTGCCAAGTCTTTCTCATTGACCATTTGTTGAACCACCTTTGGTTGTGTGTTCACGTTGGCGGAGCCAGAAATTCATGTTAAGAGGTACAGTTTAGACTATGTGAAAGAATTTAGCAGAATACCATAATAAAATGTTAGGCGAAGGTTTTTCATAGAAACCAAATTCCATTTGTAATGCAAATGACTGAGATGATTGAGGTTAATGGTCTATATAAAAATTTCCATTTTTCATAAGAGACCAAATTCAAAAAGTAGAGCAAAACAAATGAACATAACTTTGCCAAAGAGACAAACCAAAAATCTCAAAAGATTTGTATGTGCATTCACCTTTTATTGCCGTCTATAGATGGCAAAAAAAGACCCTCCTTTCTTTATCTTTTGACTCACCTTTGTTCCCAAAAATGAGATTTTGACAATAAGATCCAAAACAAATCCCAAAGCTTTGGCTTTTTAAAAAATTTCCAACCCAATTTTAATCAAAAAGCAAGTGTGAGCTTCCATGGTCATGATAATCTATGAAGAGAGAGGAGGCAAGACAAGATCCCATGTTTCCTGAGCTTCAGCAAAAGGACTTCACACCCTTTCTGTAGTACTCAGCTGCTGCAGCTGCAACCATCACACGCATTCACTTACAGTGTGAAAGAAATGTGCTTGGGATTGATACCCAGGAATCATGGGCTCTATTTTACTATATATACCCACAAACCAAAGTGAAGAAAACACTTCTTGTACTAATTACCATCAAACTTTGTTGTATACGCATATTCACCACATTTTATCTCACAAAAGAAATCATCTCGATATATAAAGGGAACTGTTATTCTCACTCTCAGCACTCTTATCTCATGCAAGAGTGCGGGAGAATCAACAACAACCGTGGCAAAGGTAAATTTTTACTTAAGTAAGTAACTAATCCTCCACTAACAGTTTATACATGGGGGAAATTTTTTTTTTGAATATTTCTATTATTATTATTTTGCACTAACTGTTACATATGGTCATGAATTTCAACCCTCACATCCTGATTTTGTGAGTATTGATCGGAAATGATAATGCAGAGAAAAAACAATTAATTAATCTGTACAATTGGTCACACACTGAAACACATGTACATGCAAGCCTAGAGCTACAAGAGCTAATAACAGCATAAAACCAGGCCTAATCTCAGGGGTGGTAGCTTAGGCTTCCTGCCTTTCTAGGCACTTCCCTTGAACCAGCCTATTTGTCAGTGCAATTACAGTGACATTCAAGCAATGCCTAATAATATATTTATTAGGAAGAACATGACAAGTTTGAGGCTCTGATCAGTGCCTAGTCTACCTTAGGTGGCATTTTCTTCAAGGGAAGGAATCAAGCAAAGGGAAAGGCACTTTGGAGTTTCCAGAGCTGCAGCAAGAAAAGTAAAAAACTAGACAGAAATTTTTACAAATTCCCTGATCATATGTTTCTTAATTGCTTGCAATATAATTCTGTGACTAACTTTTCAAGATCTTGCAATTTAAACCACCTGCATGAAAAGGGCTAAAAGGAGAAAAGGGCTAACACAGAAGCTTACATTTTATAGAGCGAGGAAGAGGATTTTCTTTCAGAATTGCAGTGGCAAAGTAGTAACCATTGGAGGGCAGAGAGAGAGAGAGAGCTGTAGAAGGAAGATGAGAATCTTTTTATGACCAATTCAGATCCTGCCAGTGGTGTTTCACAGCTTTCTTGAATTGTCTTTGTGCTATTGGAACTGCATGAAAATTATCTGATAGTTCCTGAAGGGGCACAGACGTTCAAGAAAGCTGTGGAAAATCACAAGGAGGATCATCTGTACACACTTGAAAACTTCAACTTATGATTCATGGGATACATGATTTCTCAATTCTAGCATAGCATCTGATGCTTATTCTGATTTTGAAGAAGGAAAGGGAAAAAATGGAGGCATGTAGGTGATTGATGAACTGAGAGGTTATTTATAGAACAAAATGTCAGTATTTTCTGATGATCTACCACTTACATTCTAGCACATCAGCACCAAACACAATTTGGACCCACCACTTGGCACTGCCATTTTGGTCATTCTTAATCAAAAGCAGCTGGTTGAATCAGTAACTAATTATATTGATTAACTTAGGGAGGAGAAAGAACTTTTGATGATGTTTTTATGTTCACTTTCCAGACCGAATTTTAAATATCAGATCTCTATAAGTCTATTTCTATGTGCCATCAGTATCACTATGCTAGAAAAGATGCATGGAAATAGCCATATCTAAAACTTTTAACACTAAATTCAATATCCACTCTATCCCTCATTTTATGAAATGTTTCGCTTAATCAATTTATTAATGACCTCGTTATTCACGCCGATTAATAGTACATAAATGCAAAGATAAGTGGTTCAACCATGCGTTCTACGTGGCTTGCGATATTTAGAAAGTGTTTTGAGAATGCACTCCACGTGCATCACAACATTCATAAAGTGTTTCGAGAATGCGTTCCACGTGGATTCTCACGTAAGATATTACGTGTACTACCAAAAATCATAAAAGAAAACTTGAGATGAATAGTATTTTTCATGTATGGATATATAAACCAGCAGTGACGTTAGGGATGTTAGTTTTCTCAAACCTCCCAATTTTTTAGTCGTGTGTGTGTGTGATGAAGAATATGATTAACCCTTCGAAGTTCCTTCTCTTCTTGAGTAGGTTGTAGGGAATAGTTTTAAAATCCCAAAAGAAAACTTACCAGAAAAGAAAGTTCAAAAGAAAAGCTTCTGAGGTTTGCTTTTCTCATATTTGCTCTTCTTTCAGATATAAATGGTTGATGGTTCTCTTATAGCTTGACTGGCGTGGAAGTTAGGGCCATTTATAGCCAGAATTGGATTTTCTTGAATTGGTTGCTATGCAATCGTACCAGACTTAATGTCCAATTATATATTGGGATCCGGGCAAGATTTCATGTTCAGATTTCATTCTAATCAAATTTTCAATTCTCATCCATTGAACTAATTAATATGTATAATAAAAATACAAATTTAGTTATATACCCAATCTTAGACATAGTCTTATAAAGAAATCCTATACCATTTAAAAACTATAAACACACAAACAAAAAAAAAACCCAAAAATCGACAGCTGTCAATTTTTTCAATTTAATAGTTATTTTTCAGTTTATTTGTGTGTGTAAAATACCTATATTGCCCTTGTACTATGGATTTGAGAGAGAAAAATCAGATCTGCCCAGATCTGCCAAAAAACCAAATCTGCCAATTCAACACCAATATCTTATGTAGTAAATGAGTTTTTGGTGTGTTTCTAAAGTGCATTATATATGGGTTTTTTTTATATATATAATTTTAGCCCATATTTTGGGTATATTAGTGAAGCTCCGTAATAAAAAAATATCCCATGGTACAAAAGAGATTTTTTTACTTTATACAAGCGATAATTTATTTTAAACTATCACTCTAGCCATCTTAACTAAGCCCATATTTGCTTATACAAGCGATTTAAAGCAGCAGCTAAAATGCATAATTCATAGCACCAAATTACATAAACAACAACAATTACATAACAATAAAGGAAAACAGGCAAACAGGCTTGGCTGCTTATTATAACAAATTAGGCATTGCCCTACAAGACTATTAATTAATTATAATTAATCCCCTTGTTCTAGAAATTGGAACAAACAAGGCAATAGAAAGGGCATAAAAAACCAACATTAGAACTATTAGCAACATACAACAACAACACTGTACCTCACACATCCTAACAATCTAATGCAGCACAATTTTAAATAGTACTAAGAGCTTGTAACTCTCATTCACATTTGAAACCAGGGGGCACTGATTTTTGGCAAGCACTAACAAGCAAACTCAATGCAACTGGCACATCCAAGTTGATAAGCCCTAGGACATTGGCCTTGATGACAGTGCAGAGACAAAGGGCAGCTTCCAAATCAGCCAAGCCATCAAGCAATGCACAGCACTTGCTTGTAGGAGGGGTCCCAACTGGAAGGTTAACAAGTCCTAGAAGATCCACACAAGCCCCCAACTTCAATGTGTCTTTTGGGCAAGTTTCAGGTTGGGGTGATGGTGCGTGAGGCTTGCAGGTGTTGCAAGCAAGAGAGAATGTTGATGAGTAGAAAAGGATTGAAAAGATGAGAATGGTTGCAGAGAGCTGCTTGTTGGAAGCCATGGCTGAAGTGGTTTAAGGTTTTGATGAAGGGTGTCCCTATTTTAAAGGCAGATTGTGAGGTTGAGGTTTGAGAATCTGATTGAGTGGAAGAGAAATGAAAATGGATGATAATGTACAGCAGGAGTTTTTGTATGCTTGTGAGGAAGAGAAGTCAATGATCTGATCTTTTCTTTTATGTTCCACTAACATAAAATAATTGTTCATTTCTCAGAATCTCGGTTCCCTCTGCTGCCAATTTTCTACATATTACATGTTCAATGCTTTTCTGGTAACAAATAATGTGAGGCTCTGCATGTACATCCCATAAAAGTGTAAAAATAAAAAATAAATAAAAAAGAGGAAAAGAGGAACAATTGCATGCCAATAGCAAAACCTATTTTGGGGTGCTGCAGAAAAAATACCATAAGTTAGTCATTGAAAGCAATTGCAGTGGATACATCATCAGTAAATGGGTTCCAGCTTGTGGGTTGTGACAAAGATGAAGGCCCTTTTGGCTTTCTGGTCGTTTTATTTTCTTTTGTATTGGCATATTCTGATGTCAATAATTGAAAGAAATGTCGTGAGGTTCACATGGGACGGATACAATTGTCGGAGGCTGGGGACTACTGTTGGAATTTTCTTCAAAAAATAGGCAATGGAGCTCCACTTTTTTTCTGTACAGAAAATAATCCAGATTTCAGTTTCAGCCAATGTTGTAAAGAGTTGATGTACATTCGAAATTATGGTGGGATTTACATGTAATTGCAAGATTTTCTAACAAGGATCGGATATTCAGACAATAGCTTATGTGGATTAGGTTAGTTGGTCAAGACAGTGTGTCGGCTTCCATGAACTCAAATTCGATCATCCTCTCTGTATAATTTAAAGTTCGCAATACTACACCAAAAATAGGAGCAGGGATTGTGTGGTGGGGCTTTTAATAACCCAATATACTGTTTGCTAGGCCCAAGCGTGCCCAAGGCTGCTATTTTCTGGGCAAGTGATATTTATTTTGGGTCCCAATTCTTACAAAGGAGTTTGGACAATTCCATAGCTCTGAATCTTATCAAATATAGGCCTTAGCCAGAAGATAAACCTACGAACACTTTTTTCTTTTTCTTTTTCGGGGGGCCGAAACCTATGAACTTCTTAGACTTTTGACAAAAGGATCATGTCAACCACTGAAGAAGATATGTTATGTACAAAGATGCGTATCAAGGAGGGAGGAAACTTACATGACTCTGGTTCACATTTAGGGCCGGCCTAAGCCTTAGGCCCCTTCCTTTTTCTCACCTCCTTGACTATATAGAGAGTATAAGTGATGGGGATCGAGGTCAGGACATAGGTCATCAACAATACACACGAGCACCGAATTCTAGGGCTAGTGCAAACTCACATATATCGTAGCAAATCCATGCTATAAATAAACTATTTCATTAATCATCACCTAAAACTCCCCTACAACTATTACATTAGCCTTATTTATAGGCTTTACAAGACTTTGGCACAAAGGCTACTTGGTCCAAAAGTAAACTAATTAATTATAAAATCACACATAAATAATAAAAGACATCATAAAACTACCTAAAAATATATATATATATAATAAAATAACTAATTAAATGATAAATATCTATCTTAGTGCACATTGTTGGAACCAGCTTTTGAATGTGGACTAGGACGAGACGAGCTGGAATAAAA